CCACATCCATATCTCTATATACTTTTAAATATATCTTAGACATTATGTCGTTTTATTGTATGTATACTCAAAATATATACATCTTTGAATGTATTGTATGTATTCTCTCTCTCTCTCTCTATATATATATATAGATAGATAGATAGATAGATAGATAGATAGATATCTATCTATATATATATAGAGATATAGATATATATATATAGTGGCTCACACCTATAATCCAGTTACTCAGGAGGCTGAGCAGGAAGATTGCAAGTTTGAACCCATCCTATCAGGGCAATCTAGTGACATCCTGTCTGAAAATAAAAAGAGCTGGATGTAGCTTGGTGGTAGAGTGCCTCTAGGGTTCAATCCCCAGTACAATAACAACAACAACAATAATAGTAATTTAAAATAAAGAACATATAAAAATGGACGTGTGTGTGTGTGTGTGTGTGCGCACACACACGCATATATATGTATACACATGCAGTCCCCAGAATTTTAGCATCACAGTCATCCAGAAACTTGTTGAAAACAGGAATTCTCAGGTCCTAACTAAGTCCTTCTGAGTCAGAAACTCTGGGAGTTGGGCCCAATGAACCATGTTCTAACAAGTCTTCTAGGTGATTCAGATGCATGCCAAAGATCTAGAACCATTGCCCTAAAAGACTGAGTCTTTAAAAAGATAATTATAATACAATTAACCTTTGTATAAATGAAACTATAACTTTTGATTATTCTCAATAGATATTCAGTAGTCCAACTTCTAATGGCCTCATAAACACTTTTAATTTTTTAAAGTTTTAAAAAATTATTTTTATGATTCATTGAATCCTGATCTAAATAATTTCTACACACAAGACTAGTTGATTCGTCTCTTTAAGTATTCTCCCTCCATCATCCACGCTTCCTCATCTCCTACATTTCAGATTTTTCTGGGTACAACATCTCTCCTCTCCTCTCTAACTTCTGCATTTTCCATAAATTGATAGTTGTATCACAATGAGATATGGCCAGGTTGAGGCTCTTTTTTTTTTTTTTGCAAGAATTCTTAGTAGATGGAATTGTAATTCTTGTCTCTTTAAAAGCTCCCGGCTAAAACTGGGTTCTGGCACTTGTACTGCACTGTATAGTTGCTCCAGATTCTGCCTGAAACCTCCTCTCTCCTGGCACCTCCTCTGTTTCTAGCTCCATGTCTCTGTACTGTTCTAGGCCTAGCGTGTATCCTTATGGCTTTCACCTAACATTCCTTTATGATGCAGCCTCTGGTACCTTCAGCTTAGCACATTAGAACAGGTGAGAGCTCTTCTCTTCTAGGGTCCTGCCCAGGTTCCCAGGACTTTCTGGCAGAGTCTGCAGAACCCTACTTCTAGCAGTCACCTTGCCTGTGGGCATATCACTTTGGCATGGGACATTAATAATGGGGAAGGCTGTGCATGTGTGGGAACAGGTGGTATGAAAAATCTCTGCACCTTCCTCTCAATTTTGCTATGAACCTAAAACTTCTCAAAAAATAGTCTTTTAAAAAAATGTGTATTGTTTTTACCACAGAGAATTTATCACTTCAGAGAGTTTATATGATTAATAAAAAATTAACAAAAAAGACGGGAAGGAAGAGTAAGAGAGGGAAAGAGAACAGAAGGAAGGAAGGAAGGAAATCTGTGAGCAACAAACAAAAGGAAAAAATATCATCATCAGCAAGTACAAAAGCTCTTAATGATTTTTTTTAATATCCAAGCAAGTTTCAGTTACTTGGTAACTGAAAGGAAATAAGAGCAGCAGTGTTCTGGCTGGACACAATGACCACTGGGGCCTTTGTTAGCCTTTCCTGAGAGCCCAGCACACACAGACACCCTACCCCAGCCCCAGCTCACAGACCTTCCTTGTTTCTCAGCTGCATTTGCCTCACAATCTCAATTTCATCATGTTTCTGGCTTGGTGATGCTGACCACTATTCTACTTCTGACTCTGGGCTTCTGTATATGTCCACGGCTCCTAGAATGCTCTGTTGCTGCTTCAGGGGTAAGAAATTCCCTGTTAAATATCTTGCCCTGCAGTAAGCTACCCCTGACCTGTCCTTACTACTTATAAGCAATAGCTGGGTGACCCTACATTTGTATTTTCCAAAGATTTCTGTGTTTTTCCCACTTCTCTAAACAGACTTTTTTGGTTATCAATTGAATTTTTCCAGCTACAGCAAGTATATTTGCTATTTCAGGGACCATTTTTTCCCCATTTTAAATAGTTTATTGAAATACCAAATAGATACAGAAATGTATGCATTTTATAAAAGAATTTTCATGAAGTTCAATGAATTCTCAAAAAGTGAATACATCTATGTAAATAGCACTCACATCAGGAAACAGAATATTACCAATAACCTAGCAGCTTCCTCATGCTTCTTCCCAATTGTAATACTCCCTCAGACCCCTCATACCTCACAAAGAACAGCTCCCATCCTGGCCTCTAGTACTATGGATTAATTGCCAGAACACTTGGTTTGAGTCATCATTTCTTCTGGTCAATCATGTAGCAACATCAGAATATCCTAATGATAAATCAAGAGTCAGCAAACTATGGAGCATGGGCTGTGTGCAGCCTGCTTCCTGTTTTTTTTTCCCCCACTGAATAAAAAATTTGCATTTTATTAAGATTCTAGTGATTTCTACATACAATGAAATGTAAAACATCATTGCATTAGAACTTTAAATAAATTAAAATTTGTTTTTCAGGTTTTTACATTATTGTGATGAAAATATGAGATGAGATCAATCCTAACAAATTAATGGGGAATATATTATTGTTGACTACACATATAGTGTTATATAGTAGATCCCTGGAGCTATTTATCTTGAAAAAATTTTTAAAAAAATATATGTATTATCAGAAGCACTTATTATTTATTAGTAACTCTCCAAAAAATTGATTATTCCTCTTTAGCAGCTATACTTTGCTTCTTTATAAAATAGACAGTAATACAGCATATTTACATTAGTGAGGAGGTCAGACAAATTT